GCTTGAGAGGTAGTGCAAATGTGTACCAGCTAATGGAGATTATATAGATATGTAGAATATTGTTCCTCTATGTCACCTCTATCAATGTGTCAACATTTTTTTTGCAAGACTGGAAATAAACAAATTATGCACAAAGTGGCATAACTTTCTAAACACCCTTTGTATAAAAGTCCTCCGCGGATGTACCCAGAAAGGATCACTTTGAAAACTACTCTTGTATCGAATTCCGGCTTTATATCATACCTGTCCGTTTCGCTGGAATGAAGTGATTTCGGGGAAATGTCCCCCTGAAAAAATGTGTCCCCAGGGGATGAACCTCAAAAATAAGATTTCTATTAATTTGAAAGATACTTGGAATTAGCGTCTGTCATTCACGTCTACATCCTCCTGAGACCTGGGTAGTGTCCCGTCAAGGACACTACCCAGACCACACCTGTCAAGCCCCGTGTGTTTTCCTTTCTTCTGAGTCTGAGGAGGATCATAAGCGTAACGTGGGGAGGCACGGGAACTCTAGGATAATGGTTTTCAACCTTCCTTTTACTCCCACAGAACATCAATGTGTTCAGTGGACCGCGGCTCATCGATTGAGAACCTTGAGACACCGTTCTCATGCATTTCATGCGTCTTTTCCTTCTCACTTTTGTTTCTTTTTTTTAAGTGACCCCCGACACTACGCCGCTGAGGTGGACATATACTGGGAGTCAATGATGTCCCCATCTATTTGAATGAAAAACGATAAATTTCCTTTAAATTTCAGGTTTACTCGACAGAACAGTTCTGGAATAGTGGAAACGTGGAGAGATAAGTGAATGTTGACCATGCACCACGTTGACAGTACCAGAGAGGACAGAACTAGGTTTCCTGAGCGGTGGATAGGCCGAGGTTGGGACAGGCCATGGGACTAGTCGCAGGAACTGACACCATTGGACTTTTTGTGGGGATTTATCAAGTTGCAGGTTTACAGAAGCAAGGTTCGCGACTGACAGGGTCTTACAACTTGAATTTACGCTGCTCAGGCAATACTATTGATATCAATACAATAGATTATATCTAAATGTTTGCTTCCTAAAATGCGGAATGAGACATTCAGATGTAGTTTTTATTCAACGTATCCCAAGTAGCACACTTCTTTCGACCCAGAGTGGTGAGCACGAACAGGATCGTTGTGGGTGCAGCAAAGCGGCATTGCTAGTTAAGGGCCCTCCGAACGTCGATGACATTCACCCACTTCTTGCCTTGCGGAAGCTGGGGGAAGTTCGTTCAACGAGGTTGGGATGGGCTGCTCACTCTCTATATCTTGGAATTTGTTCGAATTACGCAGTATTTTGGCAGTGTGATGGCAGGCGAACTGAACGCCACCACGCCACCGTTAACCACCTTTTTTTTTTCAAACCTGAATCTGCCCGAAAGATGCCAAGCTTGTCCGTTTCCACCTGCTCCTTCAACTGTTTAAGGGTCACATCATTCCTTCTCTAGACAATGGATACCAGCTCTCTTTCCTGATGATCACTGAGTTTCCTTTCCCAGTGGCCGCTACCCCTTCTCTCGATTTCCCCTGTCTCTTCGAATCTGAGGCAAATGCTCCGCACGGTTCCAGGCGGGACGCAAAGCTCATTTTACCTTCGGCATCAATGCCATTCTCCGCAGATCGGAATAAAGAGAAGCACAGAAATGAACGCTGCTCTGGAAACGGGTGTCGGAAGGATTGCGATGAAGCTACCCGCAAGAGCGACGGGAGCGAAATCTGCACCTAAGATTGGAACTCTTAGTTTCTGCGTCGGCCCGCTATACCACCCTCACCATGCACCATTGTCGAAGTCAAGGGATAAAATGTCTAACTCAAGTAAATAACACCGTATCCTATAACGTAGGACAATGATGAATATCTCCCACTACTACCAAATAAATCCCTGTCTTCCAGCGGTCAACACTCCTGCGCTTTTATCTAATGAGAAATACCAAAGTTGGCTGAATATGGTTCTTGACAAGTCTGTACATACCATTAACCAACCTGTGTTCAGCCTGACTTTTCCCAAGGTGAGTAGAACCTCCCCCCCCTGATGGCTGACCACGAAATCCTAATACAAAGATACAAATCCCTGTGCAAGACAGATGGCAGGTAGGTGGTGGCCCTCCACCTGTACTAAGTTGCGGGCCATCTGCCGAATGTCCCATTTGTCACCGGCACGCCACCTTCTGGGCCGCCAGGAGGTCGACGCAATCATTAGATGCAATATCCTTGAGGATGCGGCTCGTCGGCTGATTTTATATTCCAGCCGCCAAATTACAGCCTCCGTCAGGAATCCGAATTATAACGCCTGGGCCGCTTCTCGTCCATTACCTCCGTGCTACTTTAGAACATGACACCATCCTAGCTTCCGTATGCTTTCCTTCTCGTGTTCACGATACAAGGAATACTGGTGGAAACCTTGCGCAACCTGCGTTCCGCCTTAAGAGCACTCCCAGGACATTCCAGAGCATAGCCGTTCAGAGGTGAACTCCTTTACTCAATGAATGCCCAGCAAACATAGTAGTGTGGGGAGTGTGGGGACGTTCAGCCAGTGTCAATACAGTGCCATCAACGTTGAAGGTTCAAGTTCAACACCTCTTGAATATTTTAGCAGTGTTATGGCGCTATGATATACCTTCTTAAGTTGCAATTTTGAATGATATTTCTGTTAACATCATGGAGCATGCCAATCCAATAGGGGATACTTTTTTTCTTCAAGAAATGACCAAGAACTTATCCAGTGTTACTAACTAAAGTCTACGGAATACTTATGCTTCGACGTTCAGGAGCATCACTTATCGGGAATTCCAGGAACGTGTCATAAGATGGAAACGTAACTGTGTCGATTGCTGTGAAATGTTGAATCACTGTTCAGAAGAAGTTCTGATATGGAATGTGTCTGTGCTTGCTTGGGAATGTTCAACCACTCTCCCAACAAACAATTTGAAACACATAACGTTGAATCAGCATTGAATAAACGTTTGGAACGTTGTTACAACGTTAGTCCAACGTAGCCTTGTTTGCTGGGGAACTTCTACTTTCATTTGAGTATTACGATAAGAAAAGAAAAGATGAATAAGGGATGGCAAATTCGAAGAGAAAATAAGTTGCAGTATTGGAGCACTCTGAAGCAAAGCTCTTAATCCTTATCGTGCCAGAGTCGATTAGATCGACACAACGAATTTACGTTATGAGTGCCCAGGGCCGTAAATACTCCATGTGGCGACCCGGGGCAGGGAGTCATGGATGCAACCCCCCTCCTCCTCCCTCCCTGGCGTTTTTCCTCATTTGTGTCTGCCATTCCCTAGAACTAGTACCTGCGTGTCCACGTCCAAGTTTGCACGCCTTCAGTTAAAGTGAATCTGAATGGCAAAGCCAAGTTGGCTTTTTTTAAATTCAAGAATGCGGAACAGTCATGAGCTCTTGAGTATCCCCAAGAGCATTCATTGACACAGTCTCCCTCTACAATCACAGCACAGCTTTCCTTGCTTTGCGATACGCAAATATGTCAATAATATGATCAAAATCCACTTCCTTCGCTGCTTGATTTTCAACAGAAAGCATTGCAAGGTGCAGAGCCTTTCTTGGCCCATCGTGGATCGGATGTACTAAAAAAAAAAACAAAGCTATTTACTTCAATATGGTGTAAATCAGGCTGCAGTGCCTTGATATGAGTAAGCTTTTAGGCAACCATGAAATAACTTCTTTCCAGTAGATATGTTATGCTATTACGAGTTAGGATATTACAAGTTTTTTGCTTCATCAGGATGAAAATGGCCTCCTCCATTCGGAAAACTGCTGCAACGGTCCCCACCTGCCGTTTGAGTTGGAGCAGCGGCAGTTGTTGATAAGAACACATTTCTGTATCAATGTTTTAAGATGTGTTTCTCCCTTTTCCCACTTTTTTATACTAAAACAAAGCAATGCCGAGCTACTCCCATGAAGACTTGGCGTGGATCTTGAGTTTAAAAGGGATGGGAAGCCAGAAGAATGAATGAATTTTCTGGTAAAACAAGAACTGGCCAAGAAGTGGTCTTGAGGACATCATTCGGAAAGTTGAAGAGACTCGAAAACAAGGTAGTGAAAGGCCCAGAACAGAAAAATAGCAGAAAAAAAGCTGTAAATGTCGAAATGCGCGTGTTGAACCAGAAGGATCATTCTGGAAGTTTCTTTCTCAGAAAATTCATTCATCATTTTTCTGGCTTCCGATCCTTTTTTAAACTCGCAAGGTCTTGATCACCGACAAGTCTTCATGGGAGTAGCTCGGTAATGTTTTGTTTTAGTTAAAAAAAGATGTGGGAAAATGGTTCATGGGGGTTCTAGGTTCTAGGTTCTAGGTATTGCAAAACTTTTCCATTCTATCGTTTTACGACGATATTTTCACTGCGCAACCCATTTTTTCCTTTTAATTTATTTCTGTGCCTCATTCACTTTTCACTTGTTTCGCCCTCCTCCCTTCTCGGCGCCCCCTTCCTTAGATGGCGCCCGGGGCAGGTGCCCTCCCTTTTTTACGGCCCTGTAAGTGCCAGAATCGAAGAGCTGGCAATAAAAATATTTTAAAATGTACATGTATTTCTCCAGAGCGATGGATTATTCTCGAGAGATTATTCTCTCGTTTTCACCCGTTTAGTGCCACCTCTTCGACTCTGACATTTTTAAAACGAATTTCGTAGCGTCGATCTAATCCATTCTGGCTCTGCAAGGGTTAAGGAAAAGGTATCACCCCAGAACAAGTAGAATATGGTGATCACAGCAAGTTTCCAAAGCAGACAGTTGCCATATAATGGACTCTAGGCCTTCATTTGCATCACTAACATACGTTTTATAAAGAGGAAATAAATTTTAAAATCTCAAAAAATATCTTTGAGATTTACACTTAATTTCTCGCGACAGTCGTTATCACAACGAATGGATTTGGGGCATTAGGGAGAAGAGGGATGGGATTCGGCAACATTGTAGCGTTCTGACATCCGCGATTGGAATTCTCGTCATGGCTCCGTTCAGTGACTCGTTGACTGACAGCTATTCTTCGCGGAGTCGTGATTCCTTAACAGTTTACGTAGATGAGGTCCTCATCTACATCTACGGTTTTTAGTTCTGCGTAATCGTAGATTATCTTGTGAAGGGTTTCACTTCAGGTTATACGGCCCTCTTCTATTTTATGGGCCGAGTATGGCGACCAACGCCGGTGAAGATTCGCCTACCGTGCCTAGGAAAGGTTCGTAAAAGAGGCTGAACCTTCAGGTAGGCTTAGGCATGTGATAAGATCAAGTTCCTACTCAAACTTCGTTCGATTCTCACATGAGTTTACCAGAGAAGTTGACCATTCATTATTGCAGCCTTTGTGACGGACATGGGTTCGTCGCATTGAGTTTGACTTATTGTTGAAGGGTAAATTTCTTAAGCTATGCTAGGCGGGTATTATTGTTTCATGCACACCTTTACTACCTGGCCGACGTTATAGGTCCGCTGTACCGTTTTGCATTGGATTCCTGGTATGGTTCATTATGTCACCATCCCTCTCCACACTCCTTAGCTTACAATGGTTTATCTGCTCTAATTGCCTTCATACTTTGCTTTTCAAAAGTTACATGCCCGTTTTGAACTTGAACCATTCTGAATTATATTTTTTACATGCAAACCAATGGTTAGTATGGTTTTGTGAAGAGGGAAGTTTTGTGCCACATTCATTTTCCTATCAAAGCATACTTGCAGGCAGATATAAATTCTTTTAATAATTTTTGCCCCAGAGAGGTAGATGAATGATTAGTGGAACCCCAGCCCTTGTTCTGCTAGTCCTTTATTGAAAATTCTTTGGTCAAGAAAACCTACAAAGTTTTCACTATGAAAGCCATGCCTGCTTTTTACCATAAGCACAGTGAGACTATCCCTGTGACCATTTCCTGATCTATAAGAAGTTATTGGAATATTAACTTGGATCTTGGATTGCTAAGAGTGGTTACCAGACATGCAGAGATGTGATGAAGGGTAGCAGTGACATAATGAAACTTTGATACCTCCCTTCTTGTTTTATCCAACCATCAGGACTGGAAGAACATTGGAGTACAATGGATGATGGACAAGGGTGTGTGATGTGTGTCTGTTGGTGTTTAAAATTAATCTCAAATGCCCTATGGTGTGAGGGCATATGTAGAGGTCTACATATCAAAAGCTCTTCTGATAGTATATTTTAGGTATAAACTAACTTGTGCAGCAACCTTTAGACCTAGGGTCCTAGGCATATGGCTGCCTCTGCCTTTCATATCCCTCATCTGTCTTACATGAGGATGTTATCCTCAATTTGCAGGCTTGGCCCTGCCCTTCATAATGGAAACAGGAGGGAATTATGAGAACATCAAGGGAAAGATGTGAAAGATGAAAAGGAAAGACAAGAAAGGTGGGAACCTAGACCTATGCATAGTGCATGATTGACTTTCCCTTTTTCCTAAATATAGGATGTGGCATTGGTCAGGTAGTAAAGCCAATTTGGATCCTATGAATCATTGTAAATGGTCAATGCCTGGGTAGGTTCACCTTTCTTTAGGCCTGTGGTACTGATCCAGTAGCTTCAGGATTCTCTTGGCTAATGTTGATCTGCCCCACGTCTAGACTTACTTAAGAAATTGCCTTTGTATCATATGAAAAGATCTTGATTTTACCATTCAATCTGAAAGTGCACAATCTATGTTTGGTCTAAATTATTGTAAAATGTGAATGAGAATAATAAATGGTTGCAAGACAAAGCCAATGAATCTCTACTCAAGGCCACAACTCCTAAAGACAGTTACCTATACATACTTATACTCTTGGCTCCCTCCTTGACAACTAATTAGTCAATCATGTAATTCAATATTTTGAAATCTTAGGAGGGGTTTGCAGTGCAAAGATGACAGATCTTCAAAAGTGTGTCATATGTCCCAAGCGGGCCAAGACACTCAAGTTCATCATCCCCAACCAGAAGGGTGAAAAGAAGGCCTTCTGTTCCCCCAACTGCATGCTCTCATACAAGAGGGCCAACAAAAAGGTAATTGATCTCTTTCTATAACTGTTGAGAATCCCAACCCCTGATTTGCTTTTGATGGCTTTCGGTTGTGGCCTTTTCAGAGTTTAGCTGACATCACTTAAACAATATGGCTAGATTCACATTTCACTCTTTGGTTTATGACTCAGTTGTAGTCTCCTTGAACTTAGTTGATCAGTTAATTATATACTTCTTTTAGAATGAGCTTTTCAAATGATACACTTCTTTAGTTGCTTGGGTTTATTGCACAGATCAGCACAAGTTAAATTATGCCATCTCTCCATTCCTGCCTGGCTTCTTAATTTCAAGAATATAGGTATGAGTATAAATCCCCTCAGGGCACTGCAAGTTGACATGGAGTGGTTTGTAGACTAGATCTAGGGCACGTAGGCAAAGACTGGTGCAGGAACTAACCTAGCTTTGCAGAAAGCCATTTTATCCCAAACTGGAAAATTTTCTCTCTTAAAATCTGACCCCTTTCACATGCTGTGGAAATTTACTCAATTCTTAGTATTGAAGAATGAGGGGTAGTGGTAGAAGAGTACATTTAGCCCAAGAGGTCACAAGGAGATGCTGAGCTTACCTTCTGCTTGTCACAGTTAAGCATAAGAATCTGAAAACTTGGCTGACTACCCTTTCACTACTCTTTCATCATTGGATTTGCCCATGTTAGTAGTGTTAGTTTAAGTACACCACCTTATAGTTCTTACTGATGAATTTTGGTTTGAGGCTCATTTTCACCAGGGTAGGCTTGGTGAATCCAGTAGTGAACCAGTACACGGAAAAATAATTGATTACTAGGGTGACTCCCCATGGCTTAACCAGGCTTGATTGTGTTGCTCTCAGCTGAACTGGCCTCTGCCTACAATGAATTCAGGCTGAGTTATTATCTTGCATTGACTTCTTGCATCTATGCAAGCAATTCATTTGTCAACCCCATTATTGGAAAAGCATGAAGGACTTCTTAATTCATCATAGGTATAAGCCACTCAATATACTACTGCATCTATGACCAGCCTAATCTCTCACAGCTTAACCCTTTGCATTCCATTTTATTTGTAATGCCATGGAGATTGTCAGACTGTGTCCAGCAGTGGATTGCCAAGGGATAAGCTATGCTTATTGCATAAGAGCAAGCTACTACATAAGCCTTTTTATTTTTTCCATGGTAGGGCGTGTGTGTGCATTGTGATAACCCGATGGGAGAGGAGAGTGGTGGCAGCAACATTTGCAAACAGTGTCGGAACAAGTCGTCAGACAGGAGTCATGTTAATGGTACCCAAGAAAAAGCTAAAGTGGCAGATGGAGTCAAGTTTGAATGTGCTGCATTTGTGTGGGATACTTATCTTCATGAAGCTCATAGCAAGCCAGCACCTCCTCGCTTCTTTAAGCAGGTATTGGCCTATCTAACAAACTTAGGGTAACTAGAATAGTCTTTTTTTATCTGCAAGGGCTCAAGGAAGCATCACAGCTTTCAACCTTCAATTTCCTTTTATTGAGAATGAGAATACATAATGTATTACAAGAAAACAAAGACTATTCAGTGAATAATGTAATAAGGCTCATGAACTTCTTTCAATTTAGGAAATACCTCTTCATATTCTTGAAGGTTTTACATTCATAAAGTATCTCTAGGGGCTTTATTTGCTTTGGGTGACTGTTAGTGGGGTTGTATGATGGCTGCTATTTGGTGTATGCACTCCAGTAGTTTTCTTAATTTCAGTGTTATAATTAATTTCAGCCTATAGTGTTTTATCCAGCTGCTGAGAGTTTCTTGGGAAGATGATACTTGCAATGCATGCAAAAGTTTAACCAAGTTTTCTGCTGTTAGCTTTGTGTATTTTTACGGTGTTGTCCCTAACTATTCCTGCTAATTTTGTTGAAATTCTTTGTCCTGAGAAAGTTTTAAAGTGAAGTTTTGGATTGTGCTAGTTCTGTTTTCCCTTTTTTTTCTTTGCTGATTTCTTTTTAGCATTTTCTTCTCTCCCTTTCAAAAAAAAAAAATTCAAAGTTTTCAGTCTATATTTCAAATATATGAAAAATGACTTCCTGACAATCCAAGCATTGTTTCAATCGTAACTAATTTATGAAAACTGCATCCACAACATCTTTCAGAGCATCAAGCCTCTGAAAAATGAATTCCGAGCCAAGATGAAGCTGGAGGCCAGGGATCCCCGGAACCTATCATCAACATGCATTGCAACTGTTATTGGAACAACAGGGCCACGACTTCGACTGCGCTTGGATGGAGGTGATGACCGCAATGACTTCTGGCGCCTTGTCAATTCCTCTGACATCCAACCTGTTGGCACCTGTGAAAAATCAGGCAACATGCTCCAACCTCCTCTGGGTATGTTGTCTAAAGCTAAAGCTCAAAAATCACTTCAATAGTTGGTGACTATGAGGCTATCTGAATTGAAACTCATGTTGCCAGTAAGCCTTCCAGGATTTTAGAAGTAAGTTGTGGATACTTGGTGCTTTTTATGAAAATATTTGTTCCATTTTACTACCTAATTCAGCCCATGCAAATGTGCACATTCAATGCATAGCTCTTCAGAAAAATGGGCATAAGATGCATTTCTCTCTCCTTAATGAATGTTTGCAGGAAAAACTTGGTTTGCTATGTGAGAACAGGTAATAGGCATGAAGGAGATGTGGATATTCTGGCATCTTGTGCAATAGCTAAAAGATGTTCCCTGAGGTAGTACCTCACATGGTGTGAAATATTGGCCCAAGAATGGAAGTTGTCACTTTGCAAGTTAAAATTTCAATAATTAGCACACTTCATTGACTGTTAATGGCACAATAAGATGATATCTTGTCTGTAGACACCTAGGGATGGAGTTACCTAGTACTGGAAATCTGATAGACAACATGGTTACTCTGTCCTACCTTACCTTGTTACCTTCTTTCAGTAGCCATGTAGAAAATTTAGGGTGGATTTTTGAACAGAGCATTATCGGATAGTTCTATGTTCAAAAATCCACCCTTAAGTTCCATTTAGTGACCTGGCAACTGAGTTTTTTATTGCACAGATTGGTATTTATAGGTACTATTCCTCATTACATTATCACCTTGTTTTGGAACAAACCATAGTTCTGTGTGAACTCTTGGCCTTTTTAGTTTGAATGGATCTTTCTGAGATGCTCTATAGCATTCATCACTTTAGAATTTGCTGCACAGAACCCTTTTTCCATTCTATTTCATCATTCTGGTGAAAATTGAAAGAGATCAGGAAAAACTGGCAATAATAGGAAAGTTGATTAAAAATTGCTTTAAAAATTCACTGAGAATTTTATCCCTCTGCAGCATTTAATCTGCTGACTTAATCATTTTGTGTAAGTTTACATTTTGGATTTTTGGACTGGGAAAGCCATATTTGCCAAATTTAATAGGAAATGGGAGATGGTAACTATAATTTATTAAATATTTTCATTGAGTGTTTTATTTTAAAATGATGGACTTGACTTAGAATGTACCATTTGAGCAGCTACATCTTTTCATTCTCACTGAAATGTGATTCCAAATTGACCTTCTGGTTGTTGCCTTTCAAGGTTTCCAACGTAATTCATCCAACTTCCACACTTTCCTGAGTAAGACATTGAAGGATGCAGACATTGCACCTGCATCCGCCTTCTACCCAGAGCCGTCAGGCCCTGACCGGAATCTCTTTGAGACTGGGCTGAAGCTGGAAGCTGTGGACAAGAAGAATCCCCACCTCATCTGTGTTGCCAGCGTTGGTGAGTGCCTTAAAGGTTTCGGTTCTTTAAAGAAATAAAACTTGTATTCATCACACTTTTGTCATTGATATAAACAGGGAAGGTGGAGAACGATCTGATATATGTGACTTTTGATGGATGGAAAGACAATTATGGCTACTATTGTCGCTTTGACAGCCGTGACATCTTCCCGGTGGGCTGGTGTGAGAGGAATTCCCATCCACTCCAGCCTCCATATGACAGATGTCAGTCCTTCCCTTCTTATCTTCAATTTTTCCCTTTTTAAAAGTGCATAAAATTGCACCATTCTCCACTACTGTGTAGACAGTGACATTTTAGATCTTGAGCTACATTAAATGCATTAATCAATTTTCTGTAGTTTATGTGCTTAAATCAGATTGATTCTTTCAGACTCATGGCTCCCTTTGGATTCAAATGCAAGACACACTGGAAGATTAGTATGGATGTTGGGTGAAACTCAATGGGGTTAGCTACTTTTTAATCTGGATTTTTATTTATTTCTGGCAGCCCATGTGAGCTTGAGCCCCACCAACTGAGCTCTAATTTGAGCAAATGTTGGCTATACCAATTCATTGATGTATCTTAGGAGTGGCATTACAATAGAATTACAATTACAATTCACTTCACTGGAGAGGAAATTACATGGCCTATGCTTGCAAGTGTGCTATATCTGGAAGAACAACTGAACAAAAAGTTTCTTACAGTTCCAAGCAAGAACTCTTGTCATTTTGAGTTGTGATTTCTTTAGGACAATTTGGGATGTTAGTCAGAACTCCAGATTCCTTCACACTGTAGGCATGCTTGTCTGACCTTCCACATGGTACTTCTTGGCAGTTTTTTTTTTCACTAGGAAATATTGAACTAGGCCTACTTTATTTTTCTTATTTGTGTACTTGCTTAGATATATTCCCAGGACTATATACCGTATTTACTCCAGTATAGTGCGCCACCGTGTATAAGACGCACCCCCGCTTTTGAGGTCCCAATTTGTGTAAAAAAAAGATTCCCCGCGTATAAGGCGCACCCCCCCTATTTTGTAGCGAAAAGTTAAGTATGACATCGAGGAAAGTTGTATACAGAAGCGGTTGGAGGCGAAGGCGAAATTAAGCCCGGCTCTAAAGAATCTCATGGCCTTTCGTGGGGAAAAAGGAATCATTTCCGGTAATCAAGAAGGGAATGACCGAGAGTGATGGAGACGCGAACCCAAACGATTTCGAGAGCAAACGGGATCTCCCATCGAAAATTCAATGGATCATGAGGTTGAACGACGCGATTCATAAGCAAGTTGGATTTTCTGTTGGTCGGAAAACGTCAGCAGCTTTCCATGAAAAATCATTGTCTCTGGAACGGCCCATCAGAGGAGGATGTGAGCTCCGCGAATCAATTTTCCACGCCGCCAGACACCTCAGATTCCGATACCGAATGAAGTCAGCGAATCGACGTAGCCACTCCCTGTTTACTGTTTTATATTTATTATACTTCACCTGTTCTGACTGACTGCAGACAGTTTCCGCCTCAAATTAGTGATCAATGAGTTATAGGTACGCTGAAAATTTTTTTTCCCGAAAAAGAAAATTTTTTCCTCGAGTATAAGACGCACCCCCTCATCAAACACAATAAAATATGCACAAAAAAAAGCGCCTTATACATGAGTAAATACGGTAAGTATTGACCTACAACAGTAGCTGGCTGTTTTTGAATTAGTGAATTTGTTTCAGGGGAGCCATGGAACAAGAGCAAGCGTATCTTAACCTCTCCAGCACTGATCCCGGTTTCTCCTGCCTCTGCATCTATCTCCATGCTCAACACTAGCAGTGACACGACCAATAATAACAATAATGACAACAATGACACCCTTCCCTTGAGCCCCTCCCCAGTCTCCTCTTTGCGCAAGAGAAGAAAATCCCCCTCTTCTGCCATGTCCAACAAACATTCCTCTAATGAAGATGACTCAGGTATGTCAACCCTTTCTTTCATGAATTCATGACTATTGGTGAGAAAAGTTTTCAATGTACACATATCCTTATTTGTTTAGAGTCTGAAGGTTTTCCAAGTTGAATTCATATGGTGCAAAAAGGATACTCCCGTCAATTAATTTGGATCAAAAGATTTATTGTGTTTATTATGTGAAAGCAGACACTAGGGGGTTGAATGTTCCATGTGCTATCATAATAGTTTAGTGGGAATCCCATATGCACATTTGCATGGGCATGTGCCTGATAATGTCTGAAGCACAGATTTCATGGTCTTCAATACATGTGCATCCACATATGATGAATTGAAATCCTGCACATATGGGAGGAGCCAATCTTGTCAGGTTATGGCAGGTCATATTGCTTAAGTGTTGTTATATCTATATCATAATATCTTGGTGTTTGTGTTTATCTGGATACTCCTCTTTGGCTGGTTATATCTGAGTGAAGTCATTCCAACTAAACTAAGGGAGTTATGACCAATTAATGGTTGCAAGGCCAAAACTTTGACCAAATAGCAATTTTTCTACAGATGTTCAGCCATCAGAAGTTGTGTTGACATTCTCAAGATTCAAGCTTTGAACACATCAAGTTAAAACTTCTTACCCCCTCCAAGCCGAGAATAGTTCAAAACTTAGCTCTGAAGGAAGTTTAATCATTTTCACTTTATTTCTCTTATTTTCTTTCACGAAAGGAATTTACAATTTGAACAATTTTCCATGTTATCTTTAATAAATTTTATTTTTTAAAATCATATTTCATTTGAAATATTCAAGTACTTTCCCAGCTGAGTTACTTTGATCGTGAATATTTTCGTATCTGGTCATATGCTTGCTATTTTTGACGTATATGCTCAAAATTTTGTGGTATTTATGATTTTTGGTGTTGATCTTGAGTTGATGTTTTGCTTCCTGGTCTTGTAAATAGTGGAAACAGTCTTACATTTCAGTCTTTTTGAGAGTTGGTTGTTTCAGTAATATTATTTCAGTCGCATGTAATTTTTGGGTCACATAAATCTGCCCTCTAATTATAATTTATAGGATTTTTTCACAATGTCTCTAATTATACAAATTAGGGAACTTTGAGAAGCTTGAGAACTTATTAATTCTGATTTTTTTTTTATATGCTTCAGGGCTAAACTTGAACCTTTTGGAACATATGTTCAGCCTTGTCTACTCAGGGTGTCTTCTTGAGAATAGGTCATTGATTAAGTTAAGTGCATAATGTATTTCATCTTGCCATGAACTGTAGATCCTATCTTTTTTTATTTCTTTAATTTTTTTTGTCACTTTATTGCCATGATGATTGGAAACTAAAGGATGCTCGGATTTATAATAATAAAAAGTTTTGTGTTTCATCTCTTCTGATTGTATTAGAAATTTCTGGGTATTAAGAGAGTACAGTTATGTTGAAAAATTCCTCTTTTCAGCTCTGAATATATCATAATCACAGTAGTCTGGAGAACAGTGACATTGGATATGGGAAGCCTACAAAATTCAAATATATTTCTTATTGCAGATTGTAAACCTTGGTTATTCCTTCAACCCGTATACCTCATGGACAATTGCCAACATGTATAAAGTACCTGCTCTATAAAGGCATTGTGTGCATATGTTTGCTTATGTCCAGTTTTTCCCTTACCCTTTCATTGATACAAGTGAAAATAACATTAAAAATTTAGTTTATTGCTATATTGATAGCAACTTTAAAAAGGAAGATGGGATAGCTGCATGGCTGATTCATGAATCATAAACAAAGGGATTAATTCAGCCCAACAGGAAGAATTTGATCTTATGAGAATCAGTAGTTCTACCAGAAATAACTTATCCAATATAGAGGGAGTCACAGCAGCCTTATGCAGCATGAATACATATGAGGGTATGAGATGACATGAATCCTGAAGAAATCATTTTCCAACAAAACCATAGGGACCTGTTGGATGGGGCCTTGCTGTTTATCCATCAAATCCCTGAAGTCATCTTTTTCTCCTCTGCCTCGCTGATGATGGCTAATGGCCACAAGCATGCTTTGCTTGAAAGACACTAAGACAACAAATTATGGACGTTTTTTGATGCTCTAAAACTGACATACAAGTTGGACAGAGTGCTCATCTTCAAATTCAACTTTGAAGTGATGTGAACTGTCAATTTATATGGCTATTTTTTGGGGATACCCTATATATGAAGTGAATCCAATTCTGAGTTCTTTCCTATGCAAAAACTAAGTTCTCCTAAGTGTAGATTTAGGCAGACTAGCCAGGTGAAAGTTGCCAGCATTTTAAAATGCAGGTAGAAATGCTTGTATTTCCTTTCCCCTTTCTGTGGACTATCATCAATATACAGGGTGTTCGTAGTTAGACGCAAAATAGGGAATCCTTTGCCGCCTGTATGCGGAGTACCTTCGACGCCTTAGAGCCCACCGGGTTGCATATCTGGAAGGATTAAACCTATCCCTGGTGTGTTTCCTTGCAGATATGCAACCCGGTGGGCTCTAAGGCGCCGAAGGTACTCCGCATACAGGCGGCAAAGGATTCCCTATTTTGCATCTAACTATGAACACCCTGTAGATTAAAGCATCCACAAGGCTTGCCTAGTGTATCCACTTTAAACTCATTTCACTGTGTGAACTGGAATAGAAGAAAGGGAAATTGACGTTCAGTTTTATCATGTTACATGAATTACAACTACTGCTTCTACCACAACTTCATACTTATTTCAGCCTGACAAAGCCTGCCTGTGCATGGTCTTTCATTCCTAGAAGTGAAAGTGGATGTGGTGGTGAGTCAAGAATGTGGAGTGGGGTCATACTTGAATACGGAGAAAGCTCGGAAAGTGTTTCCTCCAGCGATTGGCCCTGTCTCAATCATGGATGCATTTGCTTCCATCATGCAGTGCCTTGTAGATGCGGCCATAGACCAGAAGAGTGTATTCACATTTGTGCGTCAGGGAAGCAGCCTCAGCACTGTCACAGGTCTGTGTCTGTATTTTTCACACATCTCTCAGTACTCCTTCCTGTGCGTGGCTTCTTGGCAAGATTCTGAAGGAGGGGTGTGGTGTAAGTCTTATATATCTTGGGGGTTAGTAATTGTTCCACTGAGGATAACTCCTGGCTATGAAGTTTGGTAGTGTGGCAAAATGTGAAAGTTCCAGTGGAAAAGAATATAGTGATTTGAGAAGTATGAAATATATGTTTATATTGCATAATTTCATCATCTTTGCAATGTGCACATTGGATGAACATTTTGTTTATAAATGTAATACTTGTCATTTGCTGGATGCCACAGCCAGAATTTTCACTAACCTCTGAATTGGCAGGATTTTTTAGCATAATTCTTTCTGGAGCTATAAATGTTAAGAAATAGCACCCATCAAGTCAGGGTTTCAAGTGAAATTGATGGTAATAAAGGATGGGCACATAATTAGTAGCCAAAAATAAAAAACTTGGAGGCTTAGCTACAAAAGACTTGAAGTTGAAACATTGCAGGTGGATAGTAAGGAAGTGGAATTTTTCTTTTCTTTGGTCACTTGTTAATTTTGTAAAGAACCTATATGGTTCCTTTGCCTAAGAACTCCTTTTCCTACTTTTTCACTGATTCTAGTCTCTCTCTGATTTTCTGGTGAATAATAACCTTTCAGTACACCTCAGTCTTTCAGGCAGTTCCTTCTATGTTGTAAGCTTCATGAGAAGTTCATGAAATGGGAAAGGATTCATTCATTTTTAGGCTATCAACCTGGTGCATAGGAAATGCCAAGAATAGTGCATTTTTGCATCAGACATTTGTATTGCTTGATCTCATCAAAGTAATTTCCATAAAGATTTCACATGCATCCAGATATGCAGAATGGATACTAGGTGTATCATGGGGAGTAGCAGAATGAATAAGAATAGAATAAAATGGAACTGCAACCTAGAAAGGGCTACTTTTTCTAATAGGGCTACTAAATTATACTTTTTTTAAGGCATTACCAGCGTATATTCTTTTAGAAGTGAATTCAAAATCCTTAAACTCCAAATGGATAAAGAGAAAGAGAAATTTTGCAGCAAAGTTTGGTGGGCGGGTGCATCGAATGAACCTGCCACAAGTGGAAACCGAATCACAGTTCTGGGAGCAGGTGAATCTGATCACAGGGGAACTGGGGATGTGTCCCAATTTCTTCAGACCCCAGGCTTCTTCAGTGTGTACCCTGTGCAAGGTACACCCCTCCCTGGTTGATCCCTCTCCCACTCCTGCTCCTGCCCCATCTCCTAAGACACCTGTTGAACCCACCCCAAAATCTTCAAGAACAAATCATCATCCTCAGAGGAGTGAGTCCAAGTCACCTTTTTGTATGAATGTGATTTTCAAATATTTTGCTGACTAGGTGATGAGAAATTGAAATTAATGGCATCATCTTGCCAATAAAATGTTTGATGAATTAGCAGCCCTTGTATTCCTATATGAAAAGGATCTTAAATTTTGAATATAAAAAGAACACGTCAACCTCAAGCAATGCTTCCAGTACACCAAATTGGCATACTTTGATGGTCATGTCAAGTACATCAAGTTTGCTATTTTGGAAAAAAAAAAAAGTGCATTATGGCAACCAGAATCTCTGAAATGGCAACCTGTCACATGCCATCATTGCCACTTCTGACAACATACTGAGGAAAAGTTTTGGAAGCCTTGGCTTTAAGGCACTATGCTGTTCATGTGGACAAGACAGACATTGAAATGAAGGTCCTGCAATACCAGTAGGGATGTTCCATTAACCTCCTTGCCATGGCACTCCTGGAGGCAAAATTACACTTTTTTTTAATTGGCTATCTGCAGAAAATTTGTAGGAAGAGTTCTGATAAACTATTATATTTTCTGGAAACACATGTTGTGCTTCAAAACTAATCTAAAATTATGTAAATTGGGTCACCTGACCTGATTAAGAATTCAAAATAGCCACCACATCACATGATGAAGCAATGGTCACGCACCATGGTACAAAAATCAATTGCACTTCAAACAATAATAAAAATGTGAATACTGGTCCATATGAGAATAAATCTCGTATAACTATAGGTTATGATGCCTTCTACCAGCACCTTACGTAAACATAGTAAAATATTAGCAATAGTAGGTCAATCTACCATTATGTTGAGACATCGTTGGAACATGTGTTAAGCATGATTTATGCAACTGCTCATTGTGTGCATTGTGCAAGTTCTGGCCGAATGTGTGCTAAAAACAGCATGATTGTGCATTTCATGAAATGAGCAAAAACATTGCTTTTTTCGCACAATAACCAAGTGGAGTTCCAAGGAGGAAGTTTTTTGAATTAATAAGATGTACCCCTTCTTTTCTCCTGTGAGGCTTAAGGTTTTCTCTCAGATTTTGGCACAACTGTTGCGTAGGTGCTGAGCTGGGGTTTAAACAGCTCACAGGCCTAACAAGACAGCCAGGCAGCCACCGCTCCCCTTAGAATGGGGCAGTGATGGACCTATCTCAGAAAATGTTACTGTTCATGTTGCTGAATTTGATCAAGACCAAACTGATCCCCCAAACATAACTGAATTGGTTTTGGAAAGGAAGGATGGGAAGCACAAGATTGGTGCAAGAGATGGGACAATCAAAATATGTATGAAAAGTAATGCTTTGTAATCTGTAAAAGCAAAGAGTGTAAAAATGAAAGGCATTGACACAGAGGAGAAGCCATTGCAAAATCGATACTGCCATCTCAATAGGTGGCAGGCAGGGATTCAGAAAATGCCAATGTTAGACCGGGGTTGAAACCTCAAGATGCTCTTGTAAGAAAGGTGGGATTAGATGTGAGAGCTCATGCCATTCTGGTAATTCCTATTACCAGCCTGAATCACAACTGAATATTGTTTGGTTGATATTATTGTCAAATGGTCATTAATTCCTTGACATTTTTGACAAAATTGTCACTTTCAATGTAATTGACAGCATATGAAATCAGTTATTTGATTGCTCGAAGTGTCCAATTGGCAGCATTTTTTTGCCTATTGCACACATTTTGCAAGAAAATAGCTTGCTCCATGCATTGAGCACAATGGTTGCATTTTTTACGAAATGGGCAAAAACATTATGCAGTGCAGGCAATAAGCAGTTGCACAAATCACACATAACATATGCACTATATTGTGCATCAAGTGTGCATGCAAGGAGGTTAAAGATACAGTGAAATTGAAGTGTAACTGGGTTCATTGGTCAAGCAGTTTCAGCTTCCAAGTGAAACTCAGGAAGTGAGGGGTTGAGTCCAGGTGGTGGTGGACTGTTCCTCTGCTGACAGGTGACCCACCTGCTTTCATGGGGAGTGTCTGCTTTGCATGGGAAAACACACCACTCAGTGTGCCATGTTATAGAGATATGGGTGCAGTACACCTTAAAAACCACTCATGCTAGGCTTAGACAATCTTGTGAGCCTGGGCCTCCTACAGGACCGTAGAGAGGTGTCCCAGCCTGAGGGACTGTGATCTGGGTGTGTGGTGCCCAAGCAAGCAACCCCTTCCTTTTATGAGTATTATAAATGTCTGTTGTCATGTGTCCACCACATGTCCTGTATTTAATAATTTAAGAAAAAAGAAATTGAAGTGTATCTCAATGGATTAGGAAGCAAGAGGAAACAGGAAGAGAATTCAACACCTGACATAGCCGAAGAGGTGAAAGTGACCCGATTAGACCGAATTTCCCATCCTGTCACCAGTAAGTCAACTTTAATCTAAGTTCAATTGTATAATCTCAGTATGTAGTATCTTGCTTTCCAATTCATTGCAACACCTTTGTATTGATAAGGTATTTTCATGTTTTTAGCACCCACTCCAATATACCTATCCTTGTGACAGTCATACCTCATATATTTTTTAAGTTCCATTAATTGAGGCATCATTTCTCTGAAATTCCCCTTGAGACTTCATCACATGAAAGAACACAGAGTAGTAGTTGTTACAAGTATTGAAGGCATTATTTTGTAGCTGGATCAAGAATGTGGTCATGGACAATGCTTACTCTGTTGTGATATGGTTATAGACCAAAGTGAACCTAGTCAGATTGGCTCACTATCCAAGCAGAAGTGTTTTATGAGCAGGTCCATTTAGTTGTTCTTAAATGGCTACTTTTTCCTCCAGTGCTTGGCATTGTCACAAATTACTTTCAGTATATTATAGGTCTATAAGATTTTTGAGGATTTCAAATAGTTCAAAATCTAGTTATTCATGCCTCTTGGACTCCAGATCACCTAGATTGGCAAAACCTGATGATCCAGTATTCATGCTCTTTTTCATCTGATCTGAAAGGCATATTTTGTGAAGGCAGAACCAGGTTGGGACCATGTAGTACAACCTTAAACATGTCCCACCCCATTTAATAATACTTGACTTATCACTAAGTGGATGCCTCAATGTACATTTCCCTTTATATTTAAGTCTAGTTACCGCCATGTTACATGAAGATCTCAGATTAGTTGAGTATTGACATTTTCAGTTATCACAGTGATATCATTCTTCACATGTTCTTTTCTAACAAACAGAACACCCTCCTGACTCATCATGAAAGCATATATGAAAGTGAAACTTTCTGATATATTTTCAGTTATTTCTAAGTCTCAGTCTTGGTTAATGATTGCTAAAGCATAGTTTGAAACCTAGCAGGCATCCTTTACTGCTCTTGCTCAAGCCAGACAATTTCAATTATTCCAAGATGGGAGATGGGATTCCATGACAGGTTTTAGGAAAATAATTTAATTTTCCATGCCAAGAGCAGGATTTATGAAAAAATTGCTCTATGATTTTAGTCTGAAAATGTTATTTGGATCAAATTGTGAATTGTCAAAAATATATGCTTCAAGAAAATGTAAGAACACTGCAGTGAAGGGGTATAGTGGTAATTCTCACTTGAGTTGCATTTTTTTGTGGAATGGCACAGCCAAAATCCTGGTAAAGGCTGAGACAAAAACATCCTCAGCTCCTCGAGGAGCTGGAGCTGAGGTGGAGGAACGGCTGCCCAAAGATCCCAGCGAATGGAGTGTGGGAAACGTGATGCAACACATTCAACGTGTGGACCCCTCACTTGGACAGTACAAAGACCTCTTTGCTCAGCACGTCAGTTTCCCCTCTTTTCTCACTTCATCTCAGAATCACCAGCAATGTAACAGGCTAATTCCTTATGATCTACATGCATTCAACCCTCAAGTACAGTTTTTTTTTCCTTTTTTTTAAATTGAATTTCAGTTTCATGTGGGAAGATAAGAAATGAAACTGACCCATCAGGGAACCTGTTATTGAACTGTAAAAAAATGATATTCAGATGGGAAGGGACAGTTCATAATTGGATATGAACTAGGAGCTTGAGGGGGTTAGTGGCAGTATTGTGCAACTTCTTAATCACTGTGAATATATTCCCTAAAGTTTAATGAACGAATTATTGGTAGCAATCGGATCCTTTTTTCAAAAATACAGGACATAGTGGAAGGGACAAGGGGATGTGTCAGATCTTAGCTAAGGAAAATATATAAGGATGGTTCATCTTGTTCAAGTAAAGTTAAGATCATCAGATTCCACCCAAGTAAAATAAGGTTTTGTGACTCCATAAGAGTTTAAAAGGGTGTCAGTCAGTGCCCTTCATACCCTTTGACTTTTGGTGACGTCTTTGATGTGCAGTAATCCAGCCCTGAAAAGTTTTTCCCAACTTTCATCAACCAGGCAACATTTTTTCTCATCATGCTCTTCCTTCAGTCAATGCAGCTCATACATGAATAGGCCTATACTAAGATGGACTGTGATGGCTGACTGCCAAACTGTAGAACACACTCATTGCTGTCAAGTGGGTGAATGGGAATTTTACATGCTTGCATTGCTCAGAACTGCATTACTGGTGATAATAAAATATGGCAAATGAAGAGTATCCTCTCGTGATATTGTAAATGCTTTTTTATCAGGAGATTGATGGTCGGGCCTTCCTCCTTCTCACATGTGACACAATGATGAAGTATATGAACTTGAAGCTTGGGCCAGCTATCAAAATCGCCAATATTGTGGAGCAACTCAACAGGCGACACTGACAGCCCCTTTGCATCGACTTGGTACCTGAATTACCCTTTCTTGAGGTTTGGACAATCACACAACACAGTTTTGTGTTCCTCTCAGCATACTCAGTGTCCTTGGCCTTTAGGAGAAATTTTCCTCTTTTTTTTTTGCAATATTGCAAAAAATCTTGTGAATGATTCCTCAATGTGAGAAGGAAATCTCTTTTTATTTTCTATAATCCTGAATGCAGTGATTTTCAATCAGTTGACCAAGATGCCTTAGAATCATGCACTGCTTTGGGTCGTTTTGTGCTTGAATCATTACTAGTAATGCCTTAAAGGCAAATATGCAAACCAATCTTAGAAAACTCCCTTGAACCAAAGACATATTCCTGCTTTGAGTGTGTGAACTCTCAATTGTGAAAACCATTCTCTATTGTTCTCCATATCCTTCCCAGGAACTTAGCACTAGACTCTTATTTCAGGTTTTTGTTGCATAAAGAGAGGGGGAGGGTTGGCATAGGGAATCATATGTGATACGGGTCAAGGGGGGAAACATTCACTGAAATGAATAAAGATTTAGTTTTCTCTTTGTCCTTGACATTAATCATTCCATATCATATTTTTGCTGCGCAACACTGCTGACTTGTATTAATGCATAAACCTGTTTGTTTCTCACCATGAAATTTACCTACTGGTACATGCCATCCTTAATTGGGTACTCCTCAGATAAATGCCACTTACAGGAATCACCTGGATGAATTGAGTGTGTTTCAATGGCAAAGACATTGAGAAGAGTGAATATTGGAGCCCCAGATATCAAGCAATATTGCTTTCAGAACCTTTTACTGCAAGCACTTCTGTCTACAGTTGGTCTTTTGTGTAGACGCATGCACCCTTTACTTATCAATGCTACTGCAATGGATATGAAAGAAACTCAATGTGAGATGGAGGATATGCACATTTTTTAACTTACGAGTGTGCATCACGTCCTTCACTTCAACTTCAGGTGCCTGAAGAGTTTCCTCATTCCATCTGATTGCATTGCAGAATACAAATGCTTACTCCCATGATTTTGGCATGTGCTCACTGAGTGGATTGCAAAAACTGACTTCAGCTTGTCAGCTTTAAACCCCCATTAGGGGTGAATTTAAAGCTACTTTAGCGGAGATTTTTTTTTATATGTATTGCATTAAAAAAAATTTTTCTTAACGCAGCATCAAATTCCATATTAGTTTAATGCTACAATGACCCTACTTTAAACCTCCATTAGCATCGAGGAGGAACATACCGCTGGCTCCAGACTCTTACTGCATCACGGATGTCCGCGGACGGTGTTTTTTTTTTATTTATAAATTTTTTTCCTGAATGTTTTCGTTTCTATAAAAAGCCAAGTGAAATGAGCAACGAATTCAGTAGATGGTCCCCCGAACTCAGTTGAAGCACTCGACGAGTTTGCCATGGCCGAGTTCATGGTCGTGAGAGTCCTCGCCTGGGAGCGTGTGTTCCGTGAACGGCTGAACCCCTGCGAGTGGTACTCCCTTGAACAGGTGTTGTGGAAGTACCGGTTCACACCCTAGAGCATCCTCCATTTGGTGGACTTATTTGGACCCGAATTAGAGCATAGAACCAAGAGGAACTACACGATACTGCTACTGCTGCAGATTGCTCTGCTTTTCGGTTCTATGGGTGCGGGTCCTTTCGGATCGTGATCTCCGACACACTCAATATCGACACCTCCACTTAATGTCGCATCGTTCGACGGGTGTTACAGGCCTGAACGCGCCGCGTCTGCAATACTCGCTATCCCCCTTTGACGCTTTTGCACCCACTCGTAAGCTTTGCTTCTTTCAATACAGTTCTATCCTAAACTGCCCTGAGTCTGCGATAAATTTCATTGCAATTCATGTCATATTCGACCAAGAAAACTTATCACAAAACACATCTCTTCCTTGGTGCAATCCCTTAGCAGCCATTTTTCGTAACTGTAGGAGGCACACCAGACGGCAGTAACGCCAAAGAATGCCGCCTTCACGGCGCTGATATTCTAACAAGCAGTATATGTGCGAGATACGTTGCTAGTTATACCGCGAGTCAAAAATGGCGCCGCTTTTTGAGATTCATTGAAGTTCATGAGATAGAAGATAGCATGGCAATTTTTTTTTTTTTTGCAACGACTTCTACGTATCCTTGAAACGTCCTAAAATTATTTGTTTTTCTCCAGCCGTTTTAGCACGGGATCGAAAACGCGAGGGCGACTCGAATTTTATTTTTGCGCGAGGAAACGTATCGCCGGAAGAGGAGTTGGTAGGCGTGGAGTGCACAAATCTCGGCCCAGAGCTCCTCCATCTCCCCATGAAAATGCTGCTTTTTTTGCGAACGGATGGATGGGCAGAATTTTGCAAGAATTTTCAGGTAAAGGATGAAAGAAATGTTGGCTTATTGTTGAGAGATTGATTCACAAGCTGCGAAGAACCGTTTTATCCGAGAGGAAGCGAAGGGGCGGAAAACTAAAAGTCGGAACTGAAGGAAACTGCGTCTATGTGGAAGAAGTCGTTGTTTCTCAAGATGATAATCCTGAGATGCATTACATGCAAATTGCTTGATGTAAGGACGAGTTAGAGATTTGCTTAGCGAGGTCTGAAGTGCAGAGGAAAAAATCCTGAGAATAAACGTCATTCCTCATGAGTGGGACAAGTCCTCCCGTCAGCGCCCAGGTGCGAGTGCAAAAATAAATTCCAGTTGTTTTTGTAAAATCACTCGTGCCAAAACTACTGGAGCCAAAAATTTCCCAGTGCTCAAAGGGTGCGTATAGGTGTGTATGAAAGGAATATCATAGTTCTAGCTGGTGGTGCTCTTCGCAATTTATCCTTGCGACCGTCGCAAGCCGAGTTATGGGAGGCGAAAACGATAGAATTTCTATCAGGTCCGAGGCGGGATCCCTATGTCAAAATGAGCGAGAGTGTTTGAAAGAAAGTTGAAAATCCCGGGTGGCAGCACTCGCCCTACGCAGAACGTTTCATACGGACGGACACTTGCCGATTAATATATAGCAAATCGAAGACAGTGGACCATCTAAATTCAATGTTCCAATTTTACCCCTCAACCTACTGACGGAGGTATGGGCTTCTCGTGCATTTATAGCGGAACGGACGTCCCCGATGTGATTGCGTCGCATTTGCAGGATCTCAACTCTCCAGCAGGGCTAGTTCGAACCCGCTCAGAGGCATAAGCGGGCTTGCGGGTCGGTCGGATCTGCCCGACACGGTCCGCAAGTCCTGCTCACGTAGTATGGGGTTTAGCTATGTCGGGTGGTTCCGGGTCGGGCACGAGCCGAGCTTAGATTCGAGCTCGTCGGGTAGAGTGAGGAAAAGTCGACCCGTGCAGGACAGACAGAGACATATCTCGGCAGAGGAGAGTTCTACGCAGAGCGTTTCAGACGGACGGACACTTGCCGATTAATATACACTGGTGAACAAAATTAATGTTACACCGTTTTTCGCCAATATTTTATAGTTAGAACGTGAAAATGCGTTACTATACGTACTTTTACATGCGAATTCCAAATATCCAATCGAAATTGATCTACGTGCGTTGCAACAAGCAAATTAATGAAGCCAATAAAAGGACGGCGGCTATTTTCTTCTTCTAGGCATGTCTGTTGGAACATGTAATTTTTCGTTCCATGATGTAATGATCATGACTGTTATTACCAGTCCATAGTTCCTCCTTTTTTTTAAAATACACTTATCGGTAATGATAAATGTATATCTGTAAAAAAAATATTATGTAACTCACAGAATAGAGACGTTCTTCTGGTTTTTGCGATTGTTACCTTAATTTTGTCCACCAGTGTACGAGAGATACAAGATTTATATATTGTATATAAGATTTTATGTTATTTCTGAGTTCTCCATATCTTTTGCTCTTTGACGCAATAACGTGAGTCAAAGTGGTGTCTTGACTGCGTAGACACGTACTATATCGATGGCAGGTGCTTACGCAGGGAGAGGTAGTCTCAGGGTGTTGCCAAGATTTTGGATTCAGTCACTACCTAAAGCAAATTGTTGCAGCCTTTATATGTTGATTCTTCATTTATTATATAGTTAAATACATTTTGTACATTTAACAATTACTCCGGATGCCACGCCCGACACGGTGGACATTTTCATATCACTTCTGGTTTGGGGAATTCTTTGAGTCTATGTAACAGTACTGCTTCAGCATTCCACATGACTACAATTGGAAAAAGACAAGAAAACAAGGCTTAGGTTAGGATAGGATGGGCCATAAGGAGCACGTATCACAAAAAGCGTAACCAACATTCGGTGTAGGCCCATCATGCTGCATACGTGAAGACGGCATCTAACGCTAGGCCTCTGCACATTTGATCGAAGCACATTTCAAGGTTACAGCATTTGTTTAGAAAAATTCAGCAAGGGCTCAGGTGATTCAATGGTGATACAGCAGCTTCTCGCACGTGCTCCTTCGTCCGCTGGCAGTTAGCAGGAAGAAGTTGCGCTCCTGAACGCGTTTCGCTTCTGGCCACGTGCTTTTAAGTTTCGTTCTCCGGATAAATGCTGATCGCTTGTAGGAGTTCCCGGCATGCTTCAAAATGCCGGGAAACCTAAGTAGGGGAAGAGATGCGATGCATGTTCGGCGCACAAAAATGTAAAATTTATTTATTTATTTTAGTAGATCAGCAGGCCCAAAGATCGGTTTCGCCGATTTCATGAAAAACGCCTGAATCGGCCGATGTCCGATCTAAGGATCGGTACAGACATCTAAGGATTGCCTTTGGGAGATCTTTTGGTATATACTTGTGCTGTATGGGTATAACAAACAGAACACATGCTTATAAACAAAATAAATTTCTTGTGGGATAGAGTGAACCATTTGAGTCATGAACAGTTTCTGGTCTAATAGCAAATTAGCCCAAATCCATCCCCTCACATTTACTGTCGCTGAATCCTAGGGACCCGAGGGGAGTGAGATATGATCAATTTATTGCAACCACTATGTAATCTGGAAGTGTTTCCATGTTGCCATGACAACCTTAAGCTTCTGGATGCTCTTATCCAGAACACAGATGAAAAAGGTCAATTCACAACAGAAAGGGTTTAAAAAAAATGATAATCACAAGTCTGACAAAAAGGAAAATATGCAATATTGAAAGTTTTCAGGACGAAAAAATGCTCATAAAAAAATAGAATAGTGAATATTGAGAAATATCTACCTTTGCATCAGAGAGCTGAGATTAGTGCAACAGAAAATATTTTCTAATAACCATTCTACTGCATGGAGAAAAGGTATCATAGCCCTCCTAAAAAATTTCAAGTTTTCATATTCACCCTCTTGTCAGGATTGAAATTGATATGGAATAAGGTAAGATGAACCCACATTTTATTACCATATCTAAAAAAAAAATACGGACCAAGCAGATCTCTATGGTATGGGGATACACAGTTTCCATTCATGGAATGACCAGTAAGCATTGAAACCCATAACAGGGGTTAGGAGCTGAGATTTCGGAATGGAAGACAGGTGATATGTGAGGATAGTGGGGGAGGCTTTTTCTTCAGCTCTCGGCACATTGGAATCATGATCCAGGATCAAGGTCATTAATATGGGTATTGCTTCAAAGTTATGCACATCAATCCTCTAATGCATCAAAATCACTTCACACGTCAACATGAGAAATGCTAGTTTCTACACAATCAAAGAATGCATGGAGGAGAGAGAGTGCATCAAGTCTAAAATGAATATCAATAGACAGATCTACCATTAATTCGTAGTAAAATAACTTGGTGACCAACTTCGGGATGCCAATAGTTTTGATGTCTCTGTAAATATCACATGAGTAAGTTAACTATTTCACATCACACATTACTTTCCTGGAATAACTTGCACAACCTGACCAGGACAGCACATTAATTAAAATTGGAAAACTCCCAAAAATGATAGAGCTTCAGGGCATATGAGGCATTCTTTGACTAATCAATATTACCGGTATCAAGATGGTGCCCCATATTGATGAACATAAACTTTGTTTTTGCTAATGTGGAACAAAACAAAGTGGATAGGAGACAAGCTGCTTCCATGACCCAAGAAACTTGCATAAGAACCCACACTAAATGTTACTTTTATCATGATAACCAGTTTTTTGCACAAGCTTTTGAGCTTTTGAACTCAAGAAGACATTATTAGACATGCTTTCATGTGAATGGGTGCTTAATGAGGAGTGACCCATAAAAGGACGGACAAGACTCAAAACTGAGGACAGGGAGAGATGACTATGCAATTTAAACATCCTAGAAAAGCGAGGAAGTTTCTTGGAATGCTTGACAATTTGATCAAAATTCACTTGACCAGCAGACAAGGCAAAAATGCAAGACATCAACATGCACGTAAACATTTTCAGAGATTTAAATAAATTTGTAATATTTATCTATGATGGGCATAACCATTTTAATACTGCTCTGGAGCCAGAGAACTGAAAAAGACGTGTTCATAGCAAGAAAGGAAGGCTGTCACTAGTTATCACAGCTTCAAGGATCAAATAAAGCAATAATAACTAATAATTATTAAGAAAGGCAGCATCTGATATGCCGGAATGAAGGGAATGCATGGGAGAGCTAAATTGAAAAAGTGGCAGAGTTGTCACTCAAGATGCCACTCTTGGTCACCCACGAGCCTGCCACTTGAAATGGGCTTTCATGATCCATTGCTGAGTCTTGGAACCATCACATACCCGCAGCTCAGGTCCTGCAGTCTTGCCTATGATACTGGTGAGGCATTGCCCAGAACTGATGTGTCGAATGGAGCGATCACCCTGGTTGTAGGTCCATGCCTGATTCCCACCCAATCCATGGCAGCGAATCAGTTTTACAGGACCAGTTCCATGTGAGGCATCCAGGCAGTTGTCATCTGACATCACCTGATCTCGTTTTGTGTATGCAAACACCTGCAATGACATGTTGACTGTCTTCAAGCATGCACCTATCATTTAATGGAAATGAGCCAATTTTCCATTGCATGGAAAAACTCAGTGTGAAGAGCAGCTGCTGAGTATGTGTTTACAGTCAGCTCAGACAAGTGACTCAATACCTTTTTTGTTGAACCACCTAGGTTCTACCAAGGAACTACTTTGACTGCAATTAAGAGATCATGTAAAGCTTGAGCTGGCTAATCCAGCTTAGCTAAGTCCAAGGGCTCTCCTATGAGAAAAAATTCAGTTCTCTCGACTTTGAATTCAACAGCTTAGGCTATTAAAGGGAGACTTGGTTACGCAAAGAAAAGTTCATCTAGGAATTCAGTGAAAATTGACTGAAACTTTCACCTTCCAAGATCCATTTTCCAAAAGGGGGCATTGCTTCAAGTTACATGAGTCAATAAGATATTGAGACATTGAGAGCCACAGAGCTTGATAAAAAATGCAGCATGACAAGAGACATTGCAATTCAGGGACTTCAGACACAATGTGACTGGACTGTTAAATGAAATTTAAACAAACATTTTCCAGCAAGATAAATGCAAGACACAAGATTTTCAAATAATCCAGAACCTATGCATCTCAGCAACACCACAAATATGTAGACATGTTTTCACAGGAGAGTCATACAGGAGGTAAATGACATAGGACTATGCACAACAGCATGTTAGCAGACCCCAGTCAGCATGCAGTATGGATGAACCACAATCTAAGATGTACATTTAAATTTGTGCTAAATTTGAGCTTGAAACATGACCCTTGAGAATCATTTCACACTTCTGTTGCATCCACATTACATGCTGATGGATCTGTGGTCCTATGTCCCAAGTTCTTTGTCATGTAACTGAAATGCATGGGCTCCTGATTCTTCACAGAACCAGTAAGTTTTACATTTTAATATGGCAAAAAATTTCCAAGTTTCATTTTAATAGCCCACAAATTTGCTCATATATTTATTTTTGTAGCTTTCAACCTTTAGCTTTTTTTTTGTCAATTTTACAAAAAGGAAAATCTCTGCTCCCCAAGGATTGAGTTTACAGAGTCACTGCTGCTGTTGGATATTTAATTTGTAATTTGTATTACAAACACAACAGAGTAGGGCTGAAGACTAGTACAGAAAGAACACCATCAGAAATTTGATTTTTGCCTATTCCACAAAACTATAAGGTGCAATTTCATTGCAAGGTGGCTATTGGATCAACATATATTAAATGTACACAAAGGAAGATGAAGGGTACCTGGTTGCCCCCCATGCCATGGCAATAGCTGAGGCCCACATTCTCTCCTCCCTTTCGACCCATTGTGTCTAGACACATCCCTGACTCTGCATTTCTTATGTCCCCAAGGTAATAGTACTCCAGGGGCATCTGGGACTCTGGGTACACATTCTCCAGGTACCACCTGCAACATAATGTGACAGTTTAGTTCCATGATTCAAAGTGGGAACATTTCTGTTTCAAGGTGAGTCCAAGGGCTGTTAGTTTTCATCAACACAAAGTGCATCAGTCAATGGATTTTAACTGAGGTTCTGTGCTTTCAATTAAATTTTTTTTTCAATATTTAATTTTACCATAACCCTTTAAGTTAGAGTGGTCATAATGTCCAACCACATTTTTATTACACACTTTTAGCCTGAGGAATGGTGGTCAAGACTTGTGACTACCTCTCAAGAGTAGTTTCATGTGTCAATTAGCATTGACTTCCTGAACGCTTTGCATAAAAGAGAACACAACTTGAACTTTATAACAGCTAGCAACAGCTGCATTAAACTTCAAAATTGAATTGTGTGCCTCAATGGGTTAAATGTTGAGATTTATCTAAAGTTCTTTCTTAAATTCTAATTTCACAGTAGGCACCTCGTGATAGTGGCATGACTAAGACTTGCCTTATGGAAAATAAATTTATAAAAATTTCTCAAGAATACCACAAATAAATCTAAAAAAAGGTGGAACCCTAATTATATAACCTTCTCAGGTGGAGTTCAACATAGGATTTATAGTGCAAGAAACACTATGACAGAAGTTTTCTATTTTCAAGTAGACTTTCTCACCAGATTTAGCTTCATATCCTACATTATTTCACCTCAACCACCTGTGACAAACCACTCAAAGAGCTCATTCATGGACTGGGGTTCTCTTCATGACATCTATGGAATGACACTATGCCTCCATGCTTGTGAACTTCACCCTACTAATGAATTTATATGAAGACACCATCTGCTCATCTGATGAGTTTCAGCATTGTTGAAGACACATATGCTTAGATTAGATGCATCAGAGAGGATTAAAGAAGTATAGAGAGACTTTTCACAGCAGCAGGATCAGCAATTTTTGCAATTTGAAAGTACCATGAGAAAAATGAAGTCAAGAGCATACTACAACCACTCAATCACAATTTGGATTCAGTACATACCCCTACAAAAAAGACATAAAAAATCAAAACGGCAGTTGACCATACATGCAACCATTCGATGCAAAACATCATAGACATGGCAAAACTAAAGTGTGGTATTACACCATTCTTAACTTGGTCCTTGTATTTGTTGGTGCATGAACTTGCACATGAATTCTTTCTATTAGCATTACCTTTATCCTTTTTCAGCCAATGCAAATGAGATCAGTCAATGTAAGAGTACCTTAACTTCAAAGGAGAAAATAAGAGTTCCATTGCTCAAAGCACAAAAAAATTTGCAGTTCTTCAAACTTTCAGTGAAGAAAGGGAATAGACCCATCAGACAATTCTTAAGTTCAACTAATGTTATGGAGGGCTGATAATTATTACTATTGAATGTTATTAGCTGGCAAAGAAATTAGGCAGAAAAAAAAACAAGCAGGAATACTGACAAAATTTGATAAGCAAAAGTAAAATATAAATTTGACAAAATTTGATTAGCAAAAGTTTCAATTTGGTATGAAAGACAAAGCATATTTAAAATATGTTAAGTGATTCTCTATGTGGAAAGTTTATGTTTTACATGAAAAATTGTTACATTATGCAGGGTGAGTCAAAAGTCCTGCCCAACCTTTAGAACATTAATAACCTCTCAATGATAGATCTAATGGAGATTTGGTTTTCACCAATCGAAAGACAAGTCTGTATTTTAGGAAGGATTTTTGCAATATTTTACTGATAGCTTCCTTAGAAATGAAATTCCTATTCTGGAGGTCATTTAACTGCATTGGCTCCTGAAAACATGGTTGCAGCAAGTACAATTTTCTGTTCGAGTGTCAGAGGGCATCCGGATCAGGGAAGATCTGCTATGATTCCTGTCCTGTCAAAGTTTGAGTTGATGCTGGCAATTAACATGGTGTTGATGGTGTCTCCGAAAAGTTTTCTTGCTGAAATGTCACATGGTTTCCGTCACATTCAGAGTAAAGCCAAACTTTTGCAAGTCGCTTATCAATGGTTCCATTTTCTTCAATTCTTCATGATTGGAATTGACCTCAGTGAAGGCAAATAGCTCTAACACTCGAACAGGCAATTTGACACAGTGCCACCAACATGTTTTCAGGTGCCAATACCTTTGTATAACCCCCTGAATAGAAATTAATATTGGGAAAATAATGCAAAAAATCCTTTATTCAATACAGAATTGTCTAGTCTTGCAAAGGCAAAAACCACAACTTGATCAGATCTAGCATTGAGAAGTTATTAACACTCAAAAGGTGGGCAGGACTTTTGACTCACCCTGTATAAGATAATTTAATGATGACTCAGAAACAAGATGCCCATTTCCTGTCCACAGATCCAAATGTCTGTATGGCACAGAAGCCTGCTGCAATAAAGTTTTCCAGTTACTGTACTATGTATAGTATGCAAATAAATGTTCTTCCAGTATGTTTACAGAGGTGAGCCACAACTATAATGTTACCTTAAAATTTCAAAGTTTGTATTTTGGAATAATTTAGACAAAATTGCCTCCAAATGCTCTTCTGGGCACCATCCATGCAAAGATGATGGGGGGAATATGCTACTTGAAGCAACAAGCAGTGACATTCAGCAGAGATTAAACCATGCTTGCCAACAAATACCTATGTACATTTGAATCTTTCACAATGTAGTGGCACATCAGCCTACTCTCTTTTCCCCAGACATTCTGCATATTAAAAATAAATTTTAAAATCTCCAGGCTTGTATCGTATGAGGATGAGTCAATAAATAATGCCACTACTGATTCCAGTGCCACACATGCAATGGTATGGATAAATGTCTCCATACAGCAATGCAGGTTGGCACCCCTGCATTGTATACTTGTTTGGTGATAATCTGTAGCTGCAGCTTGGCAGCAGCAAATCACATGACAAGGATGATGACTGGAAAGTTGTACACACGAGAAACAGCAATCAAGTATCCGATTTCTGTGGGTGGAAGGGGTGAGTGGAAGTTAAATTTATTGATGAATGTACAATATGGGGCATCATGCCTGGACTTAATAATGTGTACAGAGGGATAGAAAAGGTTGAAGAAGGCAGACAGAGTGTGGGTGATGAACACCACCCTGGGAGACCACACCCCCCCCAGAACTTCATGTGGAACAACCTATCTGTAGTGATTGATGCACCACATTAGATGATATTGCTGATGAAAATGGCAAAAGCCACAGAAGAGTGTTCACAATTGTCCTTGACCAGCTGAACTTTTGAAGGTGTAATGCAGGTGTGTGCCCCCAAATTGCCCAAGAATACCCAAAGAGCCCAGCATTTGGAAACCAGTACAGTTCTACTCCCACTCCACTTGACACCACCAACTGAAGTGGGAGGTTCTACCACACCCACCGTACAGTCTGGACCTCATCCAATTGGACTATCACCTGTTTGGGCCACTGAAGGAGGCCCTATGTGGCAAGCACTTTGCGCAGCTCGAGGACATCTAAGAGATTGTCCCCTTGTCCGGGTATCCTTCGTTATGTGAACACTGTGCACACTACGTGAACACTCCCCCACAATGCAGATTTCGTCTTGTGTACACTACTCCCCTGAATTCACCATGCGTCGGGTAGGCCTACTTATCCCTAATGTTCGATGTCATGTCCGGTTGAGATATCCCGTCATTCTGACGTCTCAGGATGCGCGTGGGAGATGTCAGAAAAACCGGGCTCAAGATCTCGCGATCTTGAGAAGCAGCTCAAGATGGAGATTCTCGTGGAGGGCAACACTCAACCAACTGAACCTTGTCCAAGTGTTGCTATGTATCAACCCAAAAGAGTTACATGATGCAAGCAAAAGGAATCTGGTACCAAGATGGGATATATGCATCTCAGTCCTCAGAGAGTATGTTGAAAAATGACTAACAGCATGTATACCTGTGTGCTTATGAAAAGGCCATGGAGAGCTAAGTGGCATTATTTATTGACTCACCCTTGTACTTTGTCTAGCTCAAAATCAATTTATACTGGCCCTACTTATGATGGGTATTCCCTCAATTTCAGGAAGATGGAAATAAAAGGATAACAACAGACTAACCTGAATGACTTGCAGCCAAGTTGCTTCCTGAGGTTCAACCGATCAGAGACATCCCCAATGTCCACCTTGCGGGACCCAGGATTCATCTCGTAATAGAATTCCTTCCACTCATCCATCCACACCTCAGCCACACGAGCTGAATTCTTGAATATCGTCTGGGAAACTCCACCAGGGAATGTATATGGACTCTTGTCTCGAAACACATGCCCCACATGGGAACATGTAATGATCTCTAGCCGCCCACCACACATCCACACTCGGAATGACATCTCCAGATTTTCTCCTCCCCACACCTCCATTCCCTCATCATAGGTGCCCAACTCATAAAAGTAGTCTTTGTCCATTGCAAATAGCCCACCAGCCATGGTGGGAGTGAGGAGTGGGGCACTGCGGTCACCACCCCGCCGATCCATCTCCCTCTGTGGAACTCTGTACCAGCGAAAGTTCAGTTTCCAGTTGAAACCACCCCATGTCATGTCAGAGGCAGTGACATACTCAAAGGTATTGTCAGAGATTACATCAATGATGGGGCACACAACAGTCTTGCGATCACGCACAATCTCATCCAACAATGGCTCGAGCCACCCTTCAGTGCACTCACAATGAGCATCCAGGAAGGTGATCACTTGTCCTGTTACATGCTTGGCACCAAGAAGCCTTGCTCTGATGAGTCCAGATCTTGCACCAGTTCTCAGAATAATCACCTGGACTGGAAGAGTCCTGACATACTCCTCCAATTGAGCACCAAGATCATCCCGCTCACTGGCATCATCAACAAGTATGATCTCCTTAAGCAAGGCCTTTGGTGAACGATTGATCACGCTCCAGATGGTACGCAACAATGTGCTCCATGCTTCATTGTGGAAAACAATAACAATACTTGTGGTGGGAAGAAGGGGAGAATATTCCTTTTTGTGGCAAGATGCAAGACGTACATCTGGGAGGGATCGATTCACTGAGATCATGTCACTTGCCAGGATGTTGAACTGGTTGAGCTTGAATTTTTCTTCCACTTCTGTCTCCTGCCCAGGAGGTATATGGACAGGTTTCCCCTCTTCACCTGGTGACCCAATTTGAGGTCGCACAGATGGGGCCTGCTCCCATGCCTGTAATGCTGACAATGGATATGACAACGAGATGCCTTTGGTTTTGATCAAGTTCTTGGCCACTTCATGTGCAAAATTCAAATCCACATCATTCTCAGTCTGGCGTTTCTCCAGTTTTTCTACTTTTAGTTCTTGAGGGCAATGAAAGGAGGAGTTAAGGCAGTCTGAGAAGTACATGAGGAGGAGGACATCAACCATGAACCATATCAGGGAGGTGAGGAGCACCACCCGACATGTATACATGTGGAAACGTCGCATCATCTTTACAGACTTATTGTTCTTTAATTGTGCTGCTGTTGTTTCTGATGACGGATGTGAGCCCTCATGTCCCTTGTCTCTTGAAGTAAGGTGGCTGCACGACGGGTCAATGGCATGGCCTTCTGTTGAGGTTGCTTCCCCAGTTCAGCCAGTTGAACTTCTACACTCTTCACAGCATCCACCTATGATATCGGAAGAAATAGTTGACTAAAGATATAAGCAAAATATTTTCCTTCTATAAGCAATCCACTTTAACTACTTCCCATATTTGCATTCAATTGCTGACAGCTTTGAGCATGTTAATGCTGCAAGCAGAAGACATTAAGCCATCTAATGCACACTGAAAAGGTGATCTCTTGATCATCACTCCTTGTCCTCTTACAAGTTCATAAGAATGCTAACACAAACTCAGTCTCAGTCATGCAAAAACTTTCTGCTAATAAGAGCTCTGAGCCTCTCATATTCCACTCAGATTGTCATAACGCATTGCTTATTTGATTTCTGACATTTTTCACTTTAAACCATAAGTTGAATGCCCATGCATGGGTGTTCAAGTCAAGAGAAAAAAAGGGGTCTGACTCAAGTGAAAAACCACTGTAAAGGGGGTCCTTGCAAAAAAAGTCAAATTTGAAAAAACTCACATCAGGAGGGATTTGAACAAATCGAATTTGCTCGCCCTTCACAAAGAATTGCTTGAAGTCTTTCTTTGCACCCTCGGGAGTCACCAGCTTCGCATCTTCAATGAAGGCATTCATATACCTGCAAAAACAATGTGGTGTAATTTTTTCCATCTGGCTTCCCTCTCATTTGAGTTCCACAGAAAAAAGTGCAAAATACAATTTGAACCAAAAAAATAAAATACAAATTTTTAGCAGGGAAAAGTTTTTGAATTAGGAGAGAAACTCTGGTGTCATAATTGGTGAGTATCTTGTGTTTCATGTACATGTGTTACTAGCTGTGTCTACTTGTGAAGCTTTGTCAGGAGACACCTTGAATCTTTTTTCAGAGCAAGTTCTTGAAAAGAGACTTGGGGAAAATACTTAAATAATTCCCATAATATGGTTGAGAAGTTTTTATCATTCATGATCCACTGCCAAGGAGCAAATTCCATAAAGTTGTGACTATTTGATGCAAGAAAGAATCTGATATGAAGAATCTGTTAATCATTAGATAATTGCAGAATGGGACAAATTGTTGACTGACATTGTAGGATCTGGGAACATACAGGCAGTTTCAATAGGCTGGCATTTCCACTATTGATCTCATACATTAGTTTGGGCCTAAAATTTACCATAGAAGTGCACAAGCTCTTCTGACATTGGTATCATTGGACAGATCTTCACCTGCTAAGTCAAAATATAAATACATCACATCTCATAGTCCATCTCAATCTATTTCCAAGTTATAAACTCCAAATGATTCAAGACAGTTATTATCACTTAACAGATACTTCAGATACAAAACCCCAATGATATAAGTAACATTACAAAGGTCTTGTCAAGTACATGGTGTTCATTTTACTAGTTAATCCAAAGAAATGCAAATAAAAAAAGAATTATAATTCAGATATACATGAAACTTGGAGATGTGAAAACCAAGACATTGTAAAGTGCAAAATGATAATCATAGTCACAACATATGTTGAAAGTGGCCACTGCCGTGTTCAATACATAATATTTAGCCAGCAGTGCTACAGTGCTACAGTCCATGTCCAATAACATGCTTCATGCTGCACACTTGTATATTGAACATGGTGGTGGCCACTTCCAACACATGTCATGAGGTGTTGTGACTGTGACTGTCATTTTGCACTTTACAATGTCTCGGTTCTCATATCACCAAGTTTCATTTATACCTGAATAATAATTTTTTTTTGCATTTCTTTGGGTTAACTGGTAAAATGAACACCCAGTAGAATGATATCCTAACCATGGGGGTGGTCCTTATGTGACAATGAGGAGGCAACAAGCAAAGAACTCATGTTCCATGTCAGGCTTATTCCTTCCATCTCATGATAATGTCAAAAACAAAAATCATAAATCCAGCTTTAATGGGGATACTAGCACCAGAGGTAGCCAGCCAAGCCTCTGCAGCACAATTTGGAGTTACTGGACGTCACCGTCTTCACTTGTGGACTCTAATTTAGTCTCATATCTGTCAAAGCACGGATAATTGTGTAAGTCGGGACCATATGTATTTCGTTTTGTAAGGGGTGTCGGGTCGGTAAAACCGATTTTTTATATTAAAAAATCAAAGTTTCACAAAAAAAACACAATACACTAATAGGTCTAAAGAAATAAAAACCACACCAGAATTATCAAATGTTCCGTGAAGTCCACACTTTCACTAGTAGTCCTTTTTTGTGTGGTATGCCAAAGAAGAAGGGTGGCAAGACAATATACATGTGCCAGTCATGCCAAGTTCTGCCTCATAAAGGGGACTGCTTTCAGGCATACCAGACAAGACAGATGGAAAATGGACTGTCCAACTAGAAACATGTGAGGTGTACTTGATGTGAATTGCTTAGCTTTGTTTACCAATGCAGCTCTCACATCATAGTAGAGATGGATATTTAGCTTGCAAACCTACTTGTTCATCAGTTGTACCAAGGCAACTTTTCATTCATTGCTACAAAATTAAGGGTCATCCTGACATCACATCAATTAACATGGCCATGATATGCCAAAATATTAAAGGGAACCCTGCTGCCAAATGAGACCACAATCAACAGTGCCCCTATTCATATTCAAC